ACCAACGACGCACATGGAACACATCGCAGTTTGGAGGTTACACGGATTTTGGGCCGGATTGAATCGCGGGGGTGCGTTTGTTCGTGGTGGTGGTGTGTGTGGGGGGGTCTCGAGGGATCGCAGCGTGCAGGTTTACATCGTGGATCTTTTATGATGCAAAGTATGGGCGCAGGCGCACCAGCAACACGCGTGATCCCGTAACTCACGTTAGTTGTCAACCGCGTCCTCTTCACCTCCCCTCCCCCGACGCATCGTCCTCTTCCCTCTCCTCCTCCTCATTCGGTCCAATCCCTTTCACCTCTTTCCCCCCTTCCTTCTCCTCGTCACCCGTTTCAGTCATCCTCCTCGTTTCTCTATGTTCCTCTTAGTTATCCTCCTACTCCTCCTCCTCATTCTCATTCTCCTCCTCCTCCTCCTCCTCCTCCTCTTCCTCCTCCTCCTACCCTCTCTCCTCCTCGCTGGTTCAAGTCAAGGAGTGCAGAAACAAAAAAAAGATCGCTCCTTGTACTCATCGATCAGCTGGCTGGCGGTCACGACGACGGTCGTCCTCATGGCCTTCGGCATGTTGCCACAGGGTTCCAGGGTCACTGAGGTGCCGCTGATGCGCTTGACGATGAAGAAGGTTGATGTAGCACTTTGTTTTTCAATCCTCTCGCCAATCTTGAAGCCCATCTCGGCGAGCCCAGACGCATCAATGGAGTCGCCTGAGTACTGAACCATTCCCTTCGGGGCTGATGCAGTGGCCTTTTGTGGTGTATCTACCGCTCGTGCCCTGTTGCCCCAAGGAGACTCAAGATCACCAGCACCTGGGCAAACAATCAACACCTCATCCATAAAGACGTCCTCAATGTGCTCGAAACTTGGAAATGTTTTTCTGCCTTTCGGTTTTTTGTTCAACGCATGCATGCAGAGGCGAACTTGGAAATCTCCCAACAATTTAGCTCGCTCCCCATTCTTCAAACTCGTCAATTGTCCAAGGAACTGTTTTGCCGTCGCACTGTCGGCAACGATGCGAGTTGCATTGGCCACGAGCTTCCCTGCAGTTCCAATCCCAGCGAAATCTGAAGATGTAAATATTTTTGCGACGCCATCCTTGCACAGTGCTTCGGGCGCCACCAAACAACATTTGACTGCCGATAGGATGAAATCTGGCCCCTGTTTGAACGGCACTTTGCTCAACATCAGGAGTGTCGAACTGGGAATGTCTCTGCGCTTATCTCCAACTGTTCGCGAATAGCTGCTCAAATCTTGTAAAAAGTGACCATCCTTCCCTCCGCTCCAAACCCTGACGAACTCACATAAATCATCTGCTTGCCCCTTGAGGTGAGGGCACGACTTTTCAACTGTCTCGCTTATCTTCGTCCATTTTGCATCCCCGCCAGAGGCATCAATGTTTCTCAGCGCCATTTGATGAATCCAAAGTAATACCTGCATTTTTGTCTGCTTTTTGCTTGTGGAATTGCCTGCATTGCCTGCCCGTTGGAGCAGATCGGGTAATCCAGGTAGTCGCTCTTCGACTTCTTTACGGATCGCCAACCAAGAGATACCACATTCAATTGGCTGACGGTACGACGGGCACGCGGCAAAGACTTTCTCTTGGACGATGTTGTTTGATTTGTCAACAATGTCGGGGTGCATGCCCTGGCTACCGAACGTGATACAACGAAGGCCCTGCAGAGTGTGAGAGCATGTGACCGTTAAGTACTTCATATCGTATTCGTTCACAGCCGCCAAAAATCCGCCACTGCTCTCGACCAGGTTCTGATTAAACGCGTACTGCTTTGCAAATGTGTCCTTTTCCGATGAAACTTCGAAGCAACATGCAGTCCTGCACTCACGCTCGTCGAAACCATCATGTAAAATGTTAGCCAATATATCGTGAACGTCCCCAACCTCTACCCCAACAGTGCAACGATTCTGCGGATGGCAGGCCAAATATTTAGACGAAATTGTCTGCGTGTACGCTAACCCCTTTGACTTCAACAAATTCTCGATCTTCGCAGCCTCTGCTTTTATCCCGCTACCATCTGAAGATTCGTTCGTGGCTGCGAAGATATCAATCACCGATTGAATATGCGGCACAACATGATCCAACTGTTTTGTCAAACACCCTGCTGTTGCCATCGGCCAGACACTCCAAGAATGTAGGAACAACAAGGCGTGTATATGCAGCGCGTGCTCGCAGAAAAAAAAGAAGCGATTGCCAAAATGGCTATGGTATGACGCCGAACAAGCGAGGCACTGGTAGGGATTCAAGAAGAACCAACGACAGAGAGAGACGCCGCCGACCTCAGTCCAAAGTCCCTGGGAGGCTCGGGCTCGACAGAACCACGACGCCTACCACGAGAAAATCGCTCAACCTTGTCCCCAAAAAATATGCGGTGCTCCTCAAAAAAATGGTCACCTAAACCTCGCTAACCTAGTTAGCCCAGCAGGGCTAAGTCACTTCGCTATCTCTGGATGCCTCAGTTAGCAACTCGAATTGTAAGTGCACTATGTCGATAACCCTAACCCTACGAACCGAATAGCAAACATAGCCTAAGCAGCTTCGCAAACGCCCCAAGAACATATGCTACTTACTCTAACGTGGCGAAGTCCGCTGATGACTTACGACCTTGATAGCCTACATCCATGTACAATATATTGCCTTCTATGATGCATCTATACGCGTTACATGTAACATACTATAGAGTTATAGCCGCCCGATCCGCATAGCAAGCGGCACGGGCATCCCAGTGGAGCGCCGTGGCTGCGAGGCCGGGGCTGCTGCACGCCCCGCGCCCGGGGAGTCGGCTTCCCTCAGGAGGGGAAAAAACACACAGACACAATTAATCGTCCACTCCCAGGAAAATATAGGAAAATATGGGAAGTGGGGGGGAAGACAAAAACCCAGAAAATATGGAAAAATATGGAGGATGTTTTTATTTGTGTGTATTTATTTGTGTGTCCTGGGGCCCCTTCATTTCCAACCTCCCCGAGGCCCCTCCGCGCGCGGCCGGCCTCTGGCGCGCCGAGGCCCGCCGCGGCCAGGGAGGCCCTCTCGTGCCTCCTGCCGCGCCATCCCACGGCGGGGCCCGGAGCAGAAGCGCCTCCTTGCAAAAGCATGGGGCCCTCTGCCGGCCAAGGGCGCACAGGACATCCGCGGGTGCCCTCCCTGGGGTGCACGAGAACATCCAATCGACGCGAAGAACAGTAGGGTATCCTCCCCGAACCGACCCCGACGGGATCGAGCGGGCGGGGGCGAAGGATCGCGACCGACCTCCATCTGGTACCTCGGTCCGACTGTAGCACGATGGCTGCAGGACGAAAACAGAGAGGGTACTGCGCAAAGGAGACGCCGCCGGCCGCGACTTCCCCCTGAAAGCCAGGTCCCCGGAGACCCCCCGGCACCATCCTGGCCCCCATTGCTCTCGTCGATCGATCGACGATGGCAAGGGGGCCAGGATCGATCCTCGTTATCGACGAGGATCGATCGACAACAGAACGTCCCCGATCGATCCTCACTATCGAAAAAGGGAAGTGAGGGCCGCCGTTGGCTTGGAGGAGGGCCAATCATGACAGCGGCGGCACCCACTGCCCGTTTTCCGTCCTCTCAGCTCGGCCGCGCGCAGGGACGGCCCTCGGCAGGAGTGATCTTTGGTGCGCGGCTTTAGGGGGACGCAGGGGGGGCAGATCCGAACGCGCCAGGCAGTGCTGCGTCGACCCCTGTGGGCCTGCACCAAAGGTCACCTTGCCACTTTGTCGAAAGGTCAACGTCCCCGACGTAAACAGTGCCGATGTTCTGCACTACTGCTCTCATGTCTCACCCTGCTCGCGCGCCGTCCGGCGCAAGGCTTGCGCTTGCTCGCTCGAAGAGTCACTCTTACGCGTAACTGATCTGTGCCTCCCGGATGCTCCCCCTCGCCGCGGCTGGATTCGCCAGGAAAAACGGGCCAGGATGGACCCCCTTGCTGAAGAATGAAGTTTGCGATCAGAGGGGGGGGGGAAGACGCAGGATCGAACTTGTGCTCCCAACTGCGGCTCAGCGCCGCCCAGGAGGACGACACCCAGGAGACAGAAACATCGAGAGGCCGGGCTAATCTGGGAGCGGGGGGGGACCCGCAACGAATCGCACTCCCATGCGATCGTGAAGCTCTCGCCAGAGAGGCTCCCGTGACGCACCCTGTGCCCCTGGCAAACGCGGGGCTGGACGCGACCCCCGTTGCCTGCAGTGCCGTCGGGCAGCCTCCCACAGCCCCAAAGAAGTGAGGGAGGAGGACGATGCGGAGGGAGTAGGGAGAGAAGGAGGCAGAATAGAGGAAGGGAGGAGGGAGAGGGGGACGAAGACGCGGACGACGCGGGGACCGTTTCGATCAACGTGTGGGCAACTGAAAAAAGGATCGAGAAGGAGGAGGAGGAGGAAATGGAGAGAGGACGTTGAAGGGAGGAGGTAGAAGGGAGGAAAAGGACTTAGTGGGCCCTGGGAACAGCAGGACATGTTTTCACCGATTCCGAGAAAACGCATCTCTTGAACAAAACAAAGACGACAAAAACCGACAACGGGACTGGAGCTGGAGCCGGAACTGGTAAAGCAACGGCGGCGGAACCGGTGCAACAACGGCGTCAGAACTGGCAAGAAAATGGCGAAACAGAACCGGTAAAAAAATGGCCCTGTCGTTTCCAGGGAACGGAAACGGGAAGGGCGGGAGGGAGAGAGCAAGATCGGGAGCAGGAGGAGGAACGAGGGAAGAAGGGGGCGGGGTGAGGAGGGAGCAATGGGAAATTCGGAGGGAGGGGACCTGTTCTGCCCAGAGCAGGACCAACGCTACACATCTGGAGGGGGAGGAAGGGCGGATGGAGGAGAAGGGGGGAGGGAGAAGGAGCAAGGAGAAGGAGGAGGAGGAGAAGGAGGAGGGAGAGGAGGAGGAGGAGGAGGGAGGAGGAGGAGGCAGAGCGACACCCCCCCCAGCGACTGACTGCAACCGGCAGGCCGCGCGCGCGCCCCCCACGACCGCCGCCGCCTGAAGAGGGCCCGCAGCCTGGCGATCCTCTCGCCGCGCGGGGTGCCCTCGCCGCCGCGCGCGTGCAGGGGGGGGGGGCGCGAGGAGGCCGCGCGAAGAGGCCGCGCGAGCAGGAGGACGAGGACGAGGCGGACGATGAGAAAGAGGAGTTCCAACTCCTGTTCCCCCTCCTCCTCTTCCTCCGGCTCCTCCTTTTCCTCCTCCTCCTCCTCCTCCTCCTCCTCGTCCTCCTCGTCCTCCTCCTCCTACGCCTCCTCCTCCTCCTCCTTCTCCTCCTCCTCCTCCTCGTCCTCGTCGCCCTCCTCAACATCCTCCTCCTCCTCCTTCTCGTCCTCCTCCTCCTCCTCCTCCTCTTCCTCGTCTTCCTCCTCCATCCTCGTCCTCCCCGTCTCCCTCCCTCCACCCTCTCCCCTACCTCCCCCTCCCACCCCTCCACCTCCACCACCTCCTCCTCCTTCGGGGGGGGGGGGGGGGCTGGCGTCCCTCCTCCTCCTCCGCCCCCGTAGCCATTTTGGCTCAAGCCATTTTGGCTCAAGACCTATGAGTTGGCGGGCTGAGCCCGCATTGGCTTTCACGGATACCGCTAGTCCGCGGCTGTGCCAGGGCGCTTGCGCCCGACACCTGCTTTCGCCTGTACCGAGGGGTTGGGCTCCCTCCCAGAAGAGAAAGACGCGGGCGCCAGCATGGCGCCAGGGCCGCCGCCGTCCGCCCCTGCGGTGTTCCGCGGGCCGCGGCGGCTCACTTGGGCATGTGGGCGGTGCTCAGCCTCGGCGAACTGGGCATCGCGTGTCCGCTGTCAGTGTGGAAATGAAGCGCCGCCACGTATCAAGAAGGCCGCTTGGATTGCTCACCAAGAGACCCTGTCCAAAGGTGATAGTTCAGGTGGGAAAGGGCAAGAAAGCGGCAATCATAAGGATGAAACGAGTAAGCGTCTGGAGGCCCTTGAGAAGCTTCTCCTCGGCAAGGGCGTTCCATCTACAAGTGCGGTGCCTCCGAAGGTCTGGCCAGCGCCAGGCGAAGGGGTGCCGCCGTGGAAGCAATAACCAAAAGCAGATGGCAACAGCATGGACACGGAAGAAGATGATTCTACCAAACGTACAAGGTTACCGAGCCAGATTGCGCAATACGAGTCCATCCTCAAGGCGCTCCCTGGCGATGAGAGTGACCAGATCAAGAAGGCTACGAAGGACAAATTGGCCGAGCTGCGCGAGCAGCACAGGGCATTGCGGACTCCTACGCAAGCCCACCGCCGTGCGCAGCAAGATCTGGAAAATGCTAAGTTACACAGCGCGAAGCTTGAAAACGATACCAACGAGAAGGAGCAGCAGATGGCAAAGATGCAGGAAGCTTTGGAATCTCGACGTGCGCAGTAAAAAAAAAAACGAAAAAAAAAAGAAAAAAAAAACCTAAAAAAAAAAAAAAACAAAAATAAAAAAAAAAAAAAAAAAAAAAAAAAAACAAAAAAAAAATAAAAAAAACAAAAAAAAAAAAAAAAAAAAAAAAAAAAAAAAAAAAACTACAAAAAAAAAAAAAAAAAAATAAAAAAACAAAAAAAAAAAAAAAGCAAAAACGAGCTGAGGTACAACCCTGTAGGCGGAGTTCAAGCAAAACGGCGGCGTTGGGTCGGCCATCCTGCCCTGAGGACTACGCCAGAGCGCGCCCACACTTCGACTCGATGTCCCAAGGCCCTCGGACGTCGCGAATGGCGACTTGCAGTCCTTCCTCGGGTCCGAGCTGTGGACCAAGTTGCAGTCGGTGCTCAAGAGCAAGTTCGCTGCCGCGTCCCCTCCAGCTCCTGCTCGTGATGATGGCGAGCCTAGTGCTGGTGGCGGGGATGGGTCTGGCCCCAGTGAAGCTCCCAAGCGCACTTTCGAGGACCTGTCCGACGAAGAGAAGCAGGATCTCTTCGAATCTGAAAGTTTCGAGGCGTTCAACACCAAGCTTGGCGAGTTCGCCAAGCGACAACGACTTGGGTAGCGCGTGCGAGATGATGTACAGGGTGTTCGCTGGCCGTGATCTAGTTTCATAGCGCGCTGCGAGGAATGCAGAGCCTCTGCTCTCCTCGGAGCCCACCCGACCAAGGTCGCAGACGATTTCTGTAATAGTGGATTCTTCAGATGCAGATGGTTTTGTGGCTGCGAGAGCTTCTGGCGCACCCATTTCGATGACAGGCAAGACGAAGCCTACACCTGCACCACCGTCGCAGAGCACGTACCTGTTCGAATCGTTCAACGCAAATGGTGGTCGCAATACGCTAAAATATCGAGTGAAACGTTCATGTGCGCATGTACTCTTGGCTCAAGAGATTGGGTATGATGCATCCAACGTCGAGCCCCTGTACACGTGGGCGCACAATCGTGGATGGAAGTTAATTGCAGTTCCTGGTGTGGCTACGGGAGGTAATCCGTCTGTTGGAGTAGCTGCTTTTTGCACGTTCTGAGCTAGGGCTTCGTAAGCCCGAGCATGGACAACACGTGCTGTATCCACATCGACTGCAGCACGTGATGGTAGATCTCCCTGGATGGCCAGCTTATCACGTGCTGAATGGATATCTCAAGGACTCCATCGGCCCCACGGGCATCAACTCCACTATCTTGGCTGAGCTCGGGCAATGTTTCTCCGACTGTCGTGGGCCTTGTGTTGCTGGATGTGATTGGAATATGTCTGCGGCAGAACTGGAGTCTACTGGTTTTCCTCGCACGGCAAAGGTCACCATGGCAGTGCCAACCCAAGTAACATGTCGAGCAGGAACGGGATCCACGACTATCGACTACTTCGCCCTAAACGATGTGGCGGTGCGTGGTTTCAGAGGTGTGCATGCTGGGATGCGATGGGCTAAACGACCGCATCGACATGTGTTGCTCAGTATCGTGGACAATGGATACAGTATTCGTCATTTCGTGTACACCGTTTCGCCATCATTGCCGTCGGCTCCAGTGATAGGACCTACTGCAGCCCCCGCTGACTGGGGCACTCACCGCGCCCTTGCTGAGGCTTGTCTGGCCATGGCGACGGATGAGGCGCAGTCGGTCGAAGCTGCATGGGCTCTCCCATCACGAGTTTGGTCGAAGTTCGCAGTGACGGCAGCGAAGCAGGTGGCGATCAACACTGGCACGGAGGTGAAAGAGCCTGGAGCTTTTGGCCGCAATTTGCCCCCCAGGTGGGTTGATGCTACGTACGAGTTAGATGATGATACGCACGCGAAGTTGATTGCTGAAGGCTGGCAGTGGATGACAAACAGTCTTCAGGCTATATTGCAGCTCTATCTTGGGACCAGTAATCTGGATCAGTGCTCTCTTGAGATTGACAGTTTTCTCACGGTGCAGTATCACGGGCAATGGCTGCACGAGCGCCTCGATTTCTCTGTCAAGCAAGCGCGCGATCTGGTCAGTGGCATCCCCATGGACACTGACGCGATCTCCCATTTCTTAGACGAGGTTAATGAGGACTTGGAGGCAGCGGTATCAGGCATGAATAAGGAGTCCGCGCAGCTGTGGGGTGAGCGGCGTGCCGAGTCAGTTTCCCGCGGCGCGCGTGCCCTTCGCAGACTTACGAAGGTTAAGGCCATACCGGAGCCAGCTCAATGTTCAGGGCCAGTCGTCTCAGGTAGCCCAGTTGCGATCGTCGGGAAGGAAGTGGAGATGTACCAGAAGTTGTGGAAGGCAAGTGGTCAAGCACCTTATGCTTGGGTGCCTGATCGGAGCACTTGCCCAGTGATGGAACCCGAAGCTATCAGATCGGTGGTGAAGACATTCCCGACGGGAACATCAGCTAGCTTTGATCATTTCCACCCTCGGCATGCGCTCATGTTAGACGACAACGCTATGGAAGTACTTAGTCTGATTTTTCAACGTTCTGAGGCAATTGGGCTTCTCCCTAAGCAGTTATGTTGGATACAGATGCCGATGTTGGGAAAGCCGTCAGGAGGCAATCGTTTGATTATACTGTATGCTGGAGTGTACCGTATCTGGCAGCGCGCTCGCAGATGGATGGTATCAGGCATCAGTCAGCAGCTTTCTCGTAGATATTGGGGTGCAGCGAAAGGACGTTCGGCACTTGATTGTGCTTGGCTGCAGGCGGCACGAGCTGAGAGTGATCATCGCAGTCACCGTCATCACCTCGTGTGGGTCATCGATTGGTCCAAATACTACGAGTCCATACCTTTGGATTTGCTGCGAATGAAGTTTCTGAAAGTAGGAGTGCCTGTGTGCTGGCCCAAGCTGGTTTATAACATGTGGAGGTCACCGCGTGTCATTCGCTTGGGCAAGCATCATCATGTCACACCTTTGTTTGCAGTTTGTGGCCTGCCTGCGGGCGACGGCTACGACGATTTGGCGATCAAGGTGCACGCTTACGAAGAGTTCGATGAGTACATATCCAGATGCCCTGCGATAGATTTTCTGAACTACATCGATGACACGGCTCTCAGCAATGATGCCAAAGATGAGGAGATTGCAGTGAAGGTCTCTGCGCACGCTATGGTCGAGTTCCGACGTACTTCGGATAAGCTCTCTGCTGGTTTCAATTATGATAAGATCGGCTTGCTGGCGTCCGCCCCGAAGCTCGGCCACGCGGTGCTCGACGCGCTAGATTTGCCGCACTCTATACTCAAGCAGAGCGTCTCCTACCTCGGCGTCGACGAGGCTGCAGGAGCCAGGCGCGGTGCAGTAGGGGTGAGAGCCAAGCAAGCCCGACGTTTTTCTGGAATGAGAATGAGGCTGAGGAAAGTCCAGTTTTACAAGAAACGGTTTAAGGGTCGGAAAGATGCCCCATTTTCCAAGATCTGCCGTGCTGGAGTTGCTCCAGCTAGCAGTTTTGGCGCTGAGGTTTCAGGCCTTAGTCAGGCCGAGTGGGGGTCCCACCGGCGAATGATATGTAGTGCTGACGCCCCCTGTCACGGCGGGGTCTCTTTAACTGCGAAGCTGGTGCTTCTTGGGGACAAGAGCTCTCGTCTCGCGGTGGCCCCTGCGATCCATTGGTGTAGGATGATTTGGACAGCCTCCACCCAGCCCGGGCGAGCACTAGTCAGTAAGAGTGAGCTTCTTAG